TGCTCAGACAAATCGACGCATATAATGGAGTAAGTAGTTGTTTTGTTGATTTTTCATTAAGTAATTTATAAATAAAACTTTTATATGTATTAATCTGTCTGTTTGAAAGGGTTTTTCAATATATAAAAGAAGATTGTTTTTTAATTGGTTATCGCAAGTTTGATTTTTTTTTTCATTCTGCATAAAACTCCTCTTAAAACCTTACTGCAAAAGGCTTTTCTATATTATCAAAACATTCTCAAACAGTCATATATAGCTGACTGAATAAACTGAGAGTCTCATTAAACTCGTTAACTTGTTAACAAACAAACCCTAAATTACATTTTTGGTTTCTCTACATTTTTTAAATTTCAATTGTCAACTCTAGTTTTCATTTATTACATTATTAGTCATTGGTGTTTGTATTTTGTTTCCTTTTCCGTCCATGTCCCTTGCAACCATTTAGTTGAATCATTTAACTTAAGGTCATTTTAGTCTTTTTTTTTTTTAATTTTCTATTAAATATTAAAGAATTATATTGTAGAGGTAGTTTCATTTACAAACTCAATTATTACTACAATCCATAACAGATAATTGACATATTAATAAAAATGATGAAGGTTGATTTATTATGATTTAGATATTTACGAGAGATTATCAAAGTTCACTTATTATGATCAAAGTTTTATATTAGAAAACAACTGATATATGTTCATTGAACCATATAATTATTAGATTAGATGGACGGTTGATATTAATTTGCAAAATTTATAATAATATAACGGTTTTTTAATTGATCCATGCTCTAATATTATATATTATATTATAAAATTATTAATATTCTCTCCTACTCTCTCTCTCCCGACTTTCTTCTCTGGTGACCTGAATGAAGGGATGTAAAACAAGGAAAAACCTAAATCTTCCATCATTTAATGATCAAAAAACCAATTATCGGGACTAGGCTTGGATTTCATCAAGCTTTGGGAGTCGGGACTAAAGGGCAGTTTATCAAACACTTACCTGAGTAAGCGCTTACCAAGTCACATTACCTCATCGGATGAATATGGTAATTAAGGACTAAAAATCTTACCCGGTAAGAACGAGATAAGGACCATGAGTCTTACCCAGTAAGTGAGGGTGACGACTCTTACCACGGTAAGCGCTTACCGGGTGAATTGTTACATACAATGTTGTTTTGATGGATTAAAATCTTACCTGGTAAGTAAACAATAATGTTAGATTTTACCGGTAAGCATTTACCGAGTAAGTGCTTTGGTAAACGGCCCCTAAGTTTACAGCCTAATTTGAAGATTTCTTGGCACGATCTATCCAATCAAAATCTCAAGCTACAACACACTTGTACCAGTATTGGCAATTGTCAACTGATTCACCTCTTCAGTTCAATTTTTAGGTTTCGACCGAGGGGGAGGGGATGAGTCAACCGTTGAAGATGGTGGCTATAATGAAGACGTTGATGGAGATATGGTTAAAGTGAGGGATACAGTGAATACGCAGGGTTACGGTGGTCATTGATGGTGGGAGAGGTTTCTTCCATGGCCAGTTCTTTTATTGTCAGGTGGAGACAGTGGTAGAGGATGTTTTTACGTGATCGGAAAAGACAAGAAAGGGGAAGTGGGAGGGTAAGAGTCAACAGTTGATTTCTTTTATATGTGATATATAATACGTGTTTTAGCTAAAGGACTCAATTAACGTCGTTCGTTTTAGGGATGAAAACCGAAACAAATTGCGAATATTGTGGCAATAGGGTAATAAACGAAGACAAAGACGAAAACTGAAATATTTTAATAAAGTAGAGGGACTAAAACCATTATAAAATGAAAAAATTGGTTTTATCCCATTGGAAAACGAGAAGGATCTTTCCAGAATCCATGTGACCGAAAACCACGTCACCAACTTGAATCAGGGACTCAATTATTGTGGTGGGTCACAAAATAATTTAATCGACTATTACTATTTGCATGTTTTATTGTTAATAATACAACTCAATTTTATTTCCTGAACTTAAATAATGTCAAGTTGTGACATTGTCATCAAATTAAAGTTTTGAGGGGCCGTTTATCAAACACTTATCCGATAAGCACTTAGCAGTAGAATTTAATATTATCATTTATTTACTAAGTAAGATTTTTGTCAACAAAAACGGCTATCTATGCAACAATTTAGCCGATAAGAGTTGACATGTGGTAAGAGTCATTGTTCTCACTTACCGGGTAAGACACTCAGTCTTTGCCTCGCATTTCCGGGTAAGATTCTTGGTCATTGTCATATTCATCCGGTAAGGTTATATAATTTAGTAAGCGCTTATCCGAGTAAACATTTGGTAAACGGCTTTAAGACATGGTTTGTAATATGAGTTTTTAGCTTTTATATTTTATTATATATAATCTATGGCTTATCAAATTAAATTTAAATAATTTTAATTAGTTATCGAAAACGGGAATTCAAGTTGAAGGCAGGTGACGGAAAGACTTTTGGATATAAATAATGAAGATTACATGGAAGGATAGTTTCTTGTGTATGATATTAGAATTTTAGATCAGATATGTATAGATTATGAAATCATTGGTAAAACATTAATTTTGTTACATTCTTTTGATATCATTTTTGTAAGCTTTGTCTGTTTGATATAATGTTATCAGATTATTATTTCATGGTTCTTCTTTTACTTATAAAGTTAGACAAATTTAATTTGTTAATCGTTATTGTTCAACACAGTGGCACAAACAATCATGTATATAGTATATGTAGATTTTCACCTTCTCTCTATTCTCTATCTTTTTGTTACAGCATAACTGTTTGAATAAAAATATATCGTAATTCTCCAAAATCTGTGTTTAGAATAGGTGTAGATGCTGCTTTAACTTTCTAAAAATTAAAGGTTAAACTTATTAAAAAAAATGTGCATGAGTATTACTTCCTGTATATAAATAAAAATAATTTTGAGTTAAACAAAAAATTGGTCCCTATGGTTTACATAAATTAACGAGTAAAGTCTATCAAAGAATTATTAACGAGGGACATCCCTATAATTTTATATTTATAACGGATATGGTCCTTTCTCTAACTCCTTCAGGTTAGATTGTGTTAGTGAGGGGCAATTTTGTCATTTTATCCTCCTCTCCTCAACTTCAATTTTCAACAACGAATTTGATCCCTCAAATTACTTTTTATTTTATAAAATATTTAGTGTTTGAAACTAATTTATATTATTATAACATATTTGGTCCGTCAATTATTTTTTATTTTTATAACATATTTGGTCCCTCCCCAACTCTTACTTTTAGGATTTGGTCCTCCTTTTGGTCAAGAAAATTTGATGGATGTAATTAAATAAAATTTAAAACTTAGATTTTACCATGAAATATTTTGATAAATATTTTGTTTTAATTAGTTAAAAATTAAAAAAAAAGGTTTGAGAAACTATTAATAAAACTAATTAATATACAAAAAATATATTATAGTAGTCAAACTACAAGCATTATGTTGACTTTAAGCTTTGAACTTCTCAATCTTTAATCTTGTTGATCTCGGATACAATAA